TATCTTCATCACGGCGCAGTGAAGCAACCCAGACATTGATTGTTAATACTGTGACAGAGAGAGAGAGAGAGAGAGTGAAAGAACAAGGAGAGAAGCAGGCGCACAATAAGCAAACCAAAGGGCTCATTACCGAGAATAACAGAAGACTCTGATCATGACCGAAAGAGACGCACTGATCATTGTCTCCCGCTGGCACTTCCATCCCACCGAGTTCAGGGGGGGCCAAGAAGAAGTGATCAGCGACGACTGGCCAATTAGCACGTTAGAAGACGATGTTTACATCCACGGCATAATGCGTCTGTGCGGATAATGTATATCTGTTCCAAACGCCATGACGGATCAAGCACTCAGCCGACGTTCCTGTTTCAGCAGGGAGTCAAAGTGCTGATCTGCTACATGCGTTTGCGTCCATCTCCCTGGTAGATGATCACCAGAGATCACGTGTCTGTCACAGGGTTTCGCTGGCGTTTAGTTGATTAGTAGTGGTGTAACGGACCGCTGTCGATCCGTAAACGTATGGATTCCCCCTCGGAATAATTACACAGTTTAACGTTAACCATCACAGTGTGAAATAAAGTTTGACTGACGATCGTTATCCGCCAATATTCAGTCAAATCTGCGATCAGGACATCGTTTATGCTTTTCTAGTCGCTGATCTCTGATAATGTTACATTGTGAACAATCAATCCGTGTTGAAATTGATCGTAGGAGAGCTGGTAGTGTTAGCAGCACCGCTAACGGCAAAGGAACGGAGGTTAAGTTCAGTTACATTTTTAAGCGGTCAGGCTCTGTTCATTGAACATGAATATTGGGCGAAGTTCAATTATAACGTTGCATGATGTGTTCAAATGTAATCTCATGAAATGTAGTTTTGATGAGAAACTTGAATAAATCCAGTTGTTACAACAACAACATAAATAGATATTAGAGATGAATTATGAGCCGTTTAACTTCCTAACACAAGCTCTAAGCAGCTTATGATACGTCATTCAAATTATGACAAGATTTGTTTGAATCAAACATACAATCTTTTATTTCCTTATCATTATAATGCTGTGTTTTTATGAAGAAAAAAACACTATAAATTACTACAGCAAAGTAAAAGCATAACATTTAGAATGTTTGATGGTTGACTTCAGAGTGGTTGAAATTAATTTTGGGACGGTGGCAAAAAAAAAAAGTCTGGAGCCGTGTAGACCAGCTGCTATAATCAAACAACAAAGGGATTCGTATCTGCCAGTGAGGATCATCAATGTTCTGCAATTATAGCGGCAAAAAAAACCTGATTAGGGATCTGTAAGTCATATTTGCTCCCTTTTTTCTTTTGTACTGATCCGATCTGTGACTCTGATCTGTGATTCGATCCAAACCGCGAGTTGTATGATCCGTTGATTAGCTTGTCTTTAACACCAAATGTAATGTGAAAAAACAATGCGCCTGTCCATCCATTTGACAGATGGAGCTTGCCCCGTTCAGGGTTGTGAGCCGGCCGGAGCCCATCTCGGGGTGCGACGGGTCAGAGGCTCCCTGGACAGGGTGTCAGTCCTCATGGGCAGAGAGACACACTCGGGTGGTTTAAGCGTACCCTGCATGTGTTTAGTTTGTGAGTGGAAACCCAGCTGGTGCCGTCACATGATGAAGTGTGAGGCGGCACTGCCTAATCTGCAAGTAGACAAATATACACATAGTCATACCCTGCTTAAGCTACTTTACTACTAGTGTACATTCAAATATTCCCGCAATAGCCTATAGAATACACGGTATAATATGGCAGCTAACGTACAGTTCCTCCCGGGCTAATATAGAGGCATACATATAAGTTTATATTTAGTTTTTTTTGCGATTGTGTTGAGAGCGTTAGCTTGTTACTTAGTATGGCAGAGGCCCCTCCTCAGCTCGGTTGAGGGCATTCAACGTGTCATCTTGTTATTCTTGATAGACAGCCTGGTGAGCAGGTGTGTCAGGTGCTGTCAGCGTGCATCCTGGGAAACGGTGCACTCCACAGGCTGCGCTTTCATCTGGGTTGGGAGAGGGACCCTACAATACATAAATATGAGTGTTTGTTTGTGTGTGTGTGTGTGTGTGTGTGTGTGTGTGTGTGTGTGTATAGGTGTGTGTTTGTGTGAGGTTGCCAGTCACAGTCACAGCCTAAATGTCCTCTTGTGTTCACCACAATGCCGCCTTTGCACGAACATAACAAGGAGGAGTTGATCATATTAGTGGGATTCTGTGAGGGTTCAATATCCTTTTCTTCTTATTATTTTATTTTTTCCCCATTGTCAGGGCTCAGTGGATAGCGAGTGTTTTGGCAGGTATGAGAGCTCAGGTCTCATACCCGTCTGCAGGTGAAGGTTTAGACAGCCAAAAGTTCGAGAGCCTGGGGATTTGCAGAGATGGATAGCGTGAGAGGAGCCGGAAGCTCTTAGCACACATTCTGGTCGGAGATGCGTTTCATTATCAGATCGTAAAAAAAAACATCAAATATAAGTAGCTCTGTCGCTAACAGTAAGTGCTCAATAAATTTTGTTTTCTGTATTTGGCTTGAATGCTACTCCTTTTTTTATTTTTATTTTATTTTTTTATCACATTCCTCCCTCTCACATGTTTTATTTTTTCCCATTTCTCTCATCTCTGCCACGGCACAGACACATTCAGGAAAAAAAACCACACACGAAACCACTTATACAGTTACACAGATGCAAAACCATTTTGTGAATGTAATGAGGGTCACACAGGGCGACCCAGATTGATAATGCAGCATGCCGGCACTAACATAGCTTTCCCATCCGAGTCTGTTGCCTGCTGAAACAACAGGCTGCGAGCCAAGTGAGTGAGACTATATGCGGCACAGCAACAGTGCGCTGGGAGCGAGTTACCCCACAGTCTAAGCTGATTTGACACAGTCAGGTGAAACTAGTTATGAGTCTCGCAGAGGAGACTTTTTCAGTGCCTTTTTTTTTCTGCATTTTTTTGTAGAAGCCTGTGCGGTTAAGAAGTTTCGGCTCTCGGGCCGTGTGGTGCATTCACAGCCCGGCCTCTCATGGGGAAGACATGAAAAGGGCTTTGTGATTCATAGATCTGTGTCCTGTGTTTGTTTGGTCCATCCACCACCCCTCACTCTGGCCTTTAGTGGACCCTCTTGCTCTTAATACTACGCCTGTTACTCTGAAAATTGAATATTGACGCGGATGGGTTTGCAAAGGTGCTTAAGGGGGGCCTTGTGCGTCACTATGAAGACACCGTGGGGCAATGACCAAGCATCGGGATTTGACGACCTGGAAGTAACACCAGGCTGCCCTGACTAAATGTCCCATGAGGTTAACAGTCTTGGTTTTGTGTGAAATGTCTCGACAAATACTGAATGGATTTTGATGAAATTCCGCAGAATTAATCAAGGTCCCCAGAGGATGAATCCCAACGAGTGGCAACCTAACTTTTCATCAAGCGTTTCTGGTTTTAAATTCTTCAAAAAACGTTGAATGGATTGCCATTCCTGTTCCCCTCAGGCCATAATGAGGCTAAAATATCACTGTGTCCAATACGATAGTGTATGACTTAAGCCCTCCAAAACAAAAAGTAGAAACTCTCGTAATTTTCTTCAGTGCTTTTTGTTTGGTGTTATTTCGCAAATGTTAGCGTGCTAACACACTAACCTAAGCCTAACCTGTTAAACAGCAGCATGTTAGTGTTGTCACTGTGAGCATGTTTCTATGCTAACATTAGCATTGAGGTCAAAGCACTGCTGCGCCTCGGTACAGCCTCACAGAGCTGCTAGCGGTAAGTGCAAAGGCTGCGTCTCCCTACAGAAAGCAAAACTTACATGCAGCATTTTCTCATCAATAAATCATTGCATCCATCCTGAGACATTTCTATAATTAACATATACAGGGTCATCACCACCAGGAAGCAACGGCGTTCTACAGGGTCAGAAATAGCAGGAAAGCTACTGGATTGCAAAAGGAGGTTGCTTTATAGCACAAAACAAAGAGGGCGTTGCTTTTCTGCCACCTTATGACAAGAAGCAAAAGCGTTTATAGAACAAGACTGGCACGACATTGAAACTACTAATCATCTTGAGTCAAAACGATTAACTTGTTTACAGCAATTAACGTGCCGAAATTCATTTTCAGTAACACGCTGGTGCTTTAAAACGCGTAGCACTTTCTTCACCCTCGTGGCGATGAATGACTGAATGTGTTGGCATCTGATGAGTCTGATAAGAAAAGCATCTGGCCTCTGTGTTCTTGCTCTCCTTGTCACTCATTTGACGACGGCGGCGCACAAGTGACAGAGGAGACTCGGAAGCTCTGCCAGCATACGGAGATGAATGTTTCCTGCCTCTGCACATGGCCCGATCTGTCTTGCCTCTGCTCCTTCTTACATCATGGCACGTGCCTCAGGGCTTCCTCCACAGAGCAGGCGTTTCCGTATTTAGAGCCCGATTCATACACAAACACACACACACCACTGGGGAAGGCGCAATGAGCGTTCTTTTCCCCGCCGCAATTGCCAGCAATATAATCATCTTCCCACACTTCAATGTGCCTTTAAGGATAGCATTGAGAAACAACGGAGAAAGAAATATCTCATGAAATCGAATGGTAATTTTAAAGGCGTAAGTGAATGGCAAAAAAATAAAAAACAGAGAGAAGGGTGGTTTAAAATATCCTGAACCCGGTCAATCTGAGGTAACCAAATAATTAAAAGCAGTGTTTTTGTTCTCCTCTTCCTGCTGCTTTTCAGTTGCCATTTTAGTCTCCCACCTTTTCTCCCAGCCAGCATGGTTTCTAATATTTGCTGTGGAACTCAATCGACACCCTGCAGATTTCTGTGAACAGTGAGGCGCTCGTGAAGAGGAATCCGCCTGGTAAATGCACGACGGGATGAGGAATAAAAAATAATTTTCGTCTCTGTGTTTTTTCCTTTACCTCCTCTCGCTCTTTCCTTCCCCCCCCCCCCCCTCTCTCCCTCTCTCTCTCTCTGTCTGTCTTTGTTCTCAGGTTGTTAGAGAACTCGATGCTCAACGCAGAAGTGAAGGAGGGAGAGATTCTGCCTCCTACCATTCATAGGCTGATGAAAGGATACAACAAGTACCTCAGGCCTTTCTTTGACAGTAAGGAAACTGCAGACACATGCAGCCACGGACACGACAGAACACTCCCGGGAAATGTGTGTTTGGCAGAGAGCGAGAGGGGTTCAAATTGCAATTTTGTGCTCGCCTGTCCCTTCGGAGTAATATAGTCTGACATGCATGCATTTCAATTTACTGCATATGTATAAAATGATATGAAAAGAAGTTTATCTTTGATATTGTCCCATAAATCCTTTGGAAGTAATGAAATGGTAATAAGGAAACACATGCAGAAGAGAACAACAAACTCTGGTACGAAGCCTGTAAAAGAGTGCTTTATATACTTAAAATACTAATATCTGTATAAATGTGGACATATAACATTGTGAGCAGATCAGGGCTGCTAATACGTGTCATGATTTAGATTCCAATTTTTTTAGTGGGCGACTAATTTGCTTTCCAATAGAGAAGCAGAGTCTATCTCAGTGTTTGCTCTCAGAGGAACGATGTTATGTCATTCCACCGCAAAATCCCTCGCCGCCGTTATTGTTCTGGGCTCCGAGGAATCCGCCACAATGTGATTATGGTTTGTTTACTCGCTGTTTGATCTGTAATAGCACCTCGGACTTTACCAAGGCGAATGCCATTCAGCATAATCGCCGCTCCTCCCGCCTTGGAACGCGAGCTTGGCACAAATTGGCGGCAGAAGCACTGCGAACACACACATTCACACACCCACGCACATGTATTTGCATTATGCTCTGAGAACTTACATTGATTTTATACATTCCCTAAATGCTTCACGAGATATGGGACAGCTGTAGCGCTGTCAACACACACCCCATCTCTGGTGCTTTGTGTTTTCATGGCATTTCCAGCCACAAAAAAGTGAGAATATTTTCAACATTTTGGTGCAAGGTGCAGGTTTCACTGCCCGTCACTGTCATCCTCTGGCCAGACAGCCGCAGGCACAGCCAGCAGGTTCGCTCCATGCAGACAGTTCTGCCCTCTTACTCAAAACGTAATCATTAATTCTCATGCTGAAGAAGTAACCTGAAATGATTAGTTCGATGTTTTGGGTTATATGCTTATTCGTTTTCTTGCTGAGAGTTAGATGAGGTGATTATGTTGCTTTTTCATATGTCAGTGGACTAATTTGCCTCATCTTTGTAGATCTTTAGACCGCTATTGAAACAACAGTGGGCTAAAGCAATGTTTTAGTTCCTTGAAATAGCCCTGGGACAAAAATGACCTGGAACTTCTCGGTGGAAACCAGGCAGCAACCTCTGGTTCCGAAAAGTGAAGCCAGTGCGGAAGTAACCTATACTTGCATTTTCTCTAATGACCAGCAGGGGGCGACTCCTCTGGTTGCAAAAAGTCTGATTGTATAGAAGTCTATAGAAAATTACTCTACTTCTCACTTGATTTATTACCTCAGTAAACATTGTGAACATGAGTTTATGGTCTCAATCTCTAGTTTCAAGTCTTCTTCAATACAGCATAATGTTCATTTAGTAAATGATGGTCCATTTAGAGTCAAATAGACCATAAAGCAGAGTATGTTTAAGGGTGTGGCTATCTTGTGATGGACAGGTGTCTACCACAGCGTTATCCTGTCTGGGAGTTGTCTGTCATTTTAGAACTTAAACCCTTTGACAATGTGTTTTCTGTAACATTTTTGTCACCTAAAAATGTTTCATTCAGCATTTGGTTAGCTCCACTTTCTTGGAATACATCTGATTGCAAAAAACCAAGATGGCGACGGCCAAAATGCCAAACTTTAGGCTTCAAAACAGCAGTCCACAAACCAGTGGGGGACGTCACTGTGACTACGTCCACTTCTTATATACAGTCTATGGTGGAAACGCAACTTTTGTTGACACTGTTAGCTTGGCTCTGTCCAAAGGTAACTCAATCCAGACGGAAGTGTTTGGTTTTTACACTCCATCAACATCTTTTGTACATAATTCAATAAAACACATACAACATGTTAACAAGTGAGCTTTAGAGGCGCTGGTAGGTGGATTGTTTGCCTTTGGACAGAACCAGGCTAGCTGTTTTCCACAGCTTTCAGACTATTTGCTAAGCTAAACTTAGCTAAGCGGATGCTAACCATCCATCCATCCATTTTCCTCCGCTTATCCTGGGTCGGGTCGCGGTGGCAACAGGCCAAGCAGGCTGACCCAGACTTCCCTCTCACCGGCAACATGTTCCAGCTCATTCTGGGGGATCCCAAGGCATTCCCAGGCCAGCTGGGAGATGTAATCCCTCCAGCGTGTTCTGGGTCTTCCCCGGGGTCTCTTCCCAGTTGGACGTGCCTGGAAAACCTCCAGTGGGAGGCGTCCAGGAGGCATCCTAATTAGATGCCCGAACCACCTCAGCTGACTCCTTTCGACGCGAAGGAGTAGCGGCTCGACTCCAAGCTCCCTCCTGATGACCGAGCTCCTTACCCTATCTCTAAGGCTGAGCCCGGCCACCCTACGGGGGAAGCTCATTTCGGCCGCTTGTAGCCGCGACCTTGTCCTTTCGGTCACGACCCAGAGTTCGTGACCATAGGTGAGGGTAGGAACGTAGACCGAGTGGTAAATTGAGAGCTTTGCCTTCCGGCTCAGCTCCCTCTTCACCAAGACGGTCCGGTGCAGCGCCTGCTTTACTGCTGCAGCTGCACCGATCCGTCTGTCGATCTCCCGCTCCATCTTACCCTCACTTGTGGACAAGACCCCGAGATACTTGAACTCCTTCGCTTGAGGTAGGCACTCCGTCCCCACCTGGAGGGAGCAATCCACCGGTTTCTGGCAGAGCACCATGGCCTCAGATTTGGAGGTGCTAACTCTCATCCCCGCCGCTTCACACTCGGCTGCAAACCGCCCCAGTGAATGCTGGAGGTCACGATCCGAGGAGGCTAACAGGACCACATCATCTGCAAACAGCAGAGAGGCGATCCCGAGACCCCCGAACCTGACGTTCTCCACCCCCCGGCTGCGCCTAGATATCCTGTCCATGAAAGTCACGAACAGGACCGCGGATGCTAACCTTGGCTTCATATTTATAGTACAGACATGAGTCATATAGATCCATCCATCCATCCATTTTCCTCCGCTTATCCGGGGTCGGGTCGCGTTGGCAACAGGCCAAGCAGGCTGACCCAGACTTCCCTCTCACCGGCAACATGTTCCAGCTCATTCTGGGGGATCCCGAGGCATTCCCAGGCCAGCTCCATGAAAGTCACGAACAGGACCGGAGACAAAGGGCAGCCCTGGCGGAGGCCAACACCCACCGGGAACGTGTCTGACTTATTGCCGAGAATGCGGACACAGCTCCTACTGCAGTCGTACAGAGACCGGATCGCCCGTTGTAATGGGTCCGGCACCCCATACTCCCGCAGCACCCCCCACAAGAACCCCCGAGGGACCCGGTCGAAAGCCTTCTCCAAGTCCACATAACACATGTAGACTGGTTGGGCAAACTCCCAGAACCCCTCCAGTAGTCTTGCGAGGGTAAAGAGCTGGTCCACTGTTCCACGGCCGGGACGGAATCCGCATTGCTCCTCTTGTATCTGAGATTCGACAAACGGTCGGAGCCTCCTTTCCAGCACCCTGGCATAAGCCTCCCCCGGGAGGCTGAGTAGTGTGATACCCCGGTAATTCGAGCATACTCTCCGGTCCCCCTTTTTGAAAATGGGAACCACCACCCCGGTCTGCCAGTCCATGGGCACTGATCCCGACCCCCATGCGACATTGAAGCGGCGTGTCAGCCAGGACAGTCCAACTATGTCCAGCGCTTTCAGCATCTCAGGGCGGATCTCATCCACCCCTGGCGCCTTGCCACCAAGGAGCTTTTTGACTACCTCAGCGGCCTCTGCCAGGGATATGGGTGAGCCTCCCCCTAGATCTTCAGGCGCTGCCTCCTCTGCAGAGGACATGTTGATCGGGTTTAGGAGTTCCTCAAAGTGCTCTTTCCACCGCCCGACGATGTCCCCTGTCCGGGTCAGCAGTTACCCCCCCTGCTGAGAACAGCCTGGGGTAAGCCCTGCTTTCCTTTCCTGAGCCGTCGGATGGTTTGCCAGAACCTCCTTGAGGCCAACCGAAAGTCCTTCTCCATGGCCTCCCCGAACTCCTCCCATGCCCGAGTTTTAGCATTCGCGACCACCGCAGCTGCAGCCCTTCTGGCCTGCCGGTACCTGTCAGCTGCTTCGGGAGACCCCTGGGCCAACCAGGCCTTGAAGGTCTCCTTCTTCAGCTTGACGGCTTCCCTCACCTCCGGTGTCCACCACCGGGTTCTCGGGTTGCCGCCACGACAGGCACCGATGACCTTCCGGCCACAGCTCCTAGCAGCCGCGTCCACAATAGAGGCTTTGAACATGGTCCATTCGGATTCCATGTCCCCAACCTCCCTCGGGATGTGAGAGAAGTTCTTCCGGAGGTGGGAGTTAAAGACCTCCCGGACAGGGTCCTCCGCCAGACGTTCCCAGTTCACCCTCACTACACGTTTGGGCTTGCCGGGTCTTTCCAAACGGTTCCCCTGCCATCTGATCCAACTCACCACCAGGTGGTTATCAGTTGACAGCTCTGCTCCTCTCTTCACCCGAGTGTCCAAGACATACGGCCGCAAATCAAATGATACGATTACAAAGTCGATCATTGATCTCCGGCCTAAGCTGTTCTGGTACCAGGTACACTTATGAGCCACCTTATGTTCGAACATGGTGTTCGTTATGGCCAAACCGTGGCAAGCACAGAAGTCCAATAACACCATTCGGGTTCAGATCGGGCAAGCTGTTCCTCCCAATCACCCCCCGCCAGGTTTCTCCATCATTGCCCACGTGAGCATTGAAGTCCCCCAGGAGAACTATGGAGTCGGTAGGTGGCGCCCTTTCCAGGACCCCTCCCACCGACTCCAAGAAGGCCGGATACTCTGAACTGCTGTTTGGTGCATAAGAACAAACCACAGTCAGAGCCTTGCTCCCCACAACCCGTAGGCGCATGGAGGTGACCCTCTCATTCTCCGGGGAGAACTCCAACACAGCGGCGCTCAGCCGGGGGCTCGTGAGTATCCCCACTCCCGCCCGGCGCCTGTCACCCTGGGCAACTCCAGAAAAGGACAAAGTCCAACTCTCTGCCTTGGGAGGAGACCCTACCAGGGGCTAATGCCCCGGACAACATAGCTCCCAGGATCACTGAGCCACTCAAACTCCTCCACCACGTTAAGGTGGCGATTCGCGGAGGAGGTCATATAGATCGTCTTATCTTATCTCATCAGAAATCGCAGAAAGCATATTTCCCAAATATCTGCAGTATGACAACAGACTCATTAGCCTCTCACAGAAACGAAGATTGATAAGAGAGAAGGAAAATGGGAAGATGAAACATAAGAGAGCAACGAAGTTACCCCTCTTTGATGGTGAGCCATCGAGAACTAATTCCCTCAAGGGGGTTCACACTCGACAGACTGCAGCTGCTGATGTGCCAGCGATGTGGGGTCTTTAGCATTTTAAATGTGCTGTCCTTAAAGAAACTGTCATTATACAACACTGTAGATCCCTGTGCATTCTCAATATACCCTGCTGTGTCATATAACTCACCCAGTCACATGTACAGTCGTAGCCATCTGTATGTATGCATGGACACTCAGACATATATTCAATGGTGGGGATTATGCAGTAGATGACACGATCAGCAGTTTATTAGTGGTTTCTTTCTTTGTTTCTAGATGGTCCTGTAACAGTGGGTATGAGCCTGGACATTGCCAGCATTGACACTATCTCAGAGATCAACATGGTAAGACAATATTTTTATATGCTAATCACTCACTTTTTTATCAGCCGTCCAATCCCATTGGAGGAGTGGCGAGACAACTAGCCTTCTGATTAAACCAGGCTCTGTCTAAATAGGCTTGCCCGCTGAGATGTTTCCTCACACGCAAAATCTCATGGGCCCATCACTATACATAATGTCAAAACCAGAACAGACTTGCTGATGTGAAGCAATGCTGTGGATTACTACAGAGGGAGCTTAGGGACCTGACGCCATTAATACCAAACAATGCAAAAAGAAGAAAAAAAAGGCACAAGCTGACTAATGAAATACAGGTTCTCAAAAGAAAGCTTGGTTTGCAAAAACGTCACTTATTTGTCAGCGTATTTGTGACACGCTTGTTAAAGTAGTCCATTAGCTCTGTTGTGACCTCTGAGCCCCCCCCATCCCACAGGACTACACCGCCACCATATTCCTCCGCCAGCGCTGGACGGACGAGCGCTTGGTGTTCGAGGGCAACAAGAGCCTGAGCCTGGACGGGCGGCTTGTGGAGCTGCTCTGGGTCCCCGACACCTTCATCGTGGACTCCAAGAAGTCCTTCCTCCACGACATCACCGTGGAGAACAGGCTGATACGCATCTTCCCCAACGGGACCGTCCTTTACGCGCTGAGGTGGGAATAAAGCACAAAGCTCAGTGCTTTATTGCTTGTTGCTTTGGTTTGTTTGCTCCAACAGATGACGCAAAGGAGGCAAGGGGAACGGAGGATAAATTGGCTGAGGGAGGAAGTGCGGGTTGAATTTGTAGATAATACGATTGCAAGGCAGAGAGTTGTGTCAATTATATTACTTGGGCGTGATCTGTCAATACAATGAGCGGTGGGCCATCGAAGCAACGGCGAGTCCCGTTTCGCACCTTCCCCAGCGTTGATTGCTCTGTGTGCGAGGTGCTTAGCATCTGACGAGCTCTTGGCGAGCCTCTCGCCTTGACTTTCTGATTAGACGTTGTGCCAAGCAGGCAGGTTATAGATAGAAGGGTTAAAGATGATCCAGCAAGTGGATTTGTTTGGCTCTTTTAAGCCCGCGATAATGGGATTTACACATCCCACTGCTTCTATGTTGCGAGCTTTAACCTCAGCCTGTCTGTGAATTGATTTGACTTTGCCCCCCCCCCCCCCCCCCTACCCCAAACAGTCCGTTGTTGCGCCTGGAGCTCAGCGGTGCTGAACTGCATACGAGTTATGTCGTCGTTACACAATGAGAAAGAGAGGAAGTGAGTACATGGGAGACATTCTAGCTAGTTCTAATGGCAACTCTGTAACTATCATGGGGGGGGGGTAGAAATGTACGTGGGCGGCATGTTAGAGTAAATTGGGTTGGGTATTCAGGTCTCGCCTCAGTCTGGCCTCACAGTTAATCATGTCTCCCTACACTGTAAACATCAACAGGGCCCTGCATCGCTTTCTGGAGTGCGAACATGCTCGTCTGTGACTTTTGATTCATGCTTTCATTTCTAACAAGTGCGTGATATTGTTATATGCAGTGTGACGTGTGTTGATTTATGGTGTGTGTGTGTGTGTGTGTGTGTATGCGTGTGTGTGTGTGTGTGTGGGTGTGTGGCCTAGTCTTCACGGACCTTTGCCTCCGTACAGAGAACTGCACAGATTCCGGGCTTTTACCCTGACAGAGGAAATGTGGAGGGTGAGGCGTCACAGTCAGAGAGTCGAGCCTAGTCAGAGAAAAACAAGCCGAAATAAATGTAGTGAAGTTAGGGATGGCCACCTCGGGGGAATTTAGGGCTGTGAAGAGGGACAGAGCCAAGAGTGAGAAATGCGAGGTGTTGAGGACACCTCAACACCTCGCCGGGGGGTGGGGGGTGGGTGGGGGGGGTACATGAGAAAGCACTGAGGCCATCGGAGCAGTTGAGCAGTCAAAATTACCGTATTCTACTTTTATGGTTGACGAGGGTCCAGTTTGTGTCTCTGATGAAAAATATGAAGCCAGAAATCAGATATTTTTTAAGGGGCCCCCTCCGGTTATTTTTCCTTTTATAAGTCAATGTGCTACAGCTTATTGGTGTAGAGAAGTTTAAACAATATAAATTATTCAATACAGAAAATCAGTGTCCCTTTGCCTGGTTATGAATCGTGATTATGTATGACATTTCAAAGAAATTATTTTAATCTTTTAGCAAAGTGTTATTCTAAAGTGCAGACTCCTAAGTGTGAAGCATGGATTGAAGTTAAACCCAAACTACCCTCCCTAATTACTCCATCAGCCAATAGGAAGCCTCCAGACATGATGAGTCATGGCTGCGTCACATCGATCACCAGAGCTTCATAACACTGTCCATCATTAGATGTATCAAACACTTCCATGTTTGATACATTTTCTCATAGACTTCTATACAATCAGACTTTTTGCAACCAGAGGAGTAGCCCCCTGCAGGCCATTAGAGAATATGCAAGTATAAGGCACTTCCGCATTGGCTTTCCTTGTAATACTACTTTGATTTTTTTCTAGGATCACCACCACTGTGGCTTGCAACATGGATCTGACCAAGTATCCCATGGACAAGCAGACCTGCACGCTGCAACTGGAGAGCTGTAAGGACACTTCGCACTTAATAAAGAGAAACCCAAGTGTGCAGCGTCAAGCTGTGGCAGTGACTTGGTGGGTGGGCACGATGTCAAATGAATCTGATCAAACCGAAGGATCAAACGGATCACTTTCTCTCATCTTCTAAACTGCTGGTGTGTGTGTGTGTGTGTGTGAGAGACTGCGTGCTTATTTCACACAGTGGATCAAATAGCAGGGGCAATTCCGGTCACGATGGAGTATTGTCCCTGTGTGGGTTCGTCTGTCATAAATTACCGTCATGAGCATTGGAAAATTGTCTACACTTTAAAGGAACAGCTAGGGAAGCTACCCTGCTCCCAGTCTTTATGCTAAGCTAAGCTAATGGGCTCCTGAAGAATACACGTGATGTGATCTGGCAACCGATCCTCATAAAGTGGTTCGTATGATGTCTTACGAAAAGATACCGCTCATTTTTTGTGCGTTTTCCCACAAGAGCCAGCAACATGTGTTTCAACTTACGCTAAGTTGAGGCAACAAAACTACTTAGTTCGGTTTCGGAAAAGATCATTTGAATTAAAATAACCACGGAAGTGCTGTAACTGAAGTACGCAAGTTATGGGTCAAATAAATAAACCTTGACATCTCGTTTCCTATGGGTAACAAACAGCGGTCTCCTGGGTCAAAGACCGCTGTTTGTTGGACCCATTCATCGCCCTCCCTTACCGCCCTGTGTGGCCTTTATACTTCCTCATATCTGCGAATTGCGGATTATACACGTTATTTTTCGTAGGTATAGCTACTAACGCTGATGAGAACAGCCTGGATTCGGTGAGGTGTTTACACATATTTTTTTTTTGTTTACAACAAAATTTCCCTGCAGCACCTCTAATGCACAGATATCAATCTTCTAACTTTCAGACCAAATACGTGTTTCCAAAAATGTCGATATTAGTCCTTTAATGATCCAACTATGCTTTTTAAAGCAATTTATTTTCATGACATTGACAGTGATTTGTCTTATTTTGACATGCTGTCAATGGTTTCAAATGGAAATGCGGTGGCAGTATGTTTATAAGTAAAGCAAATTGCAATTACGATTGAGTAACATGGATGGATTCTTTTTTTTTGGGCCTTAGCAAGGGGTGGAAGGAAGAAAATCTCCCCCCCCCCCCCCCCCTCCCTTTCTGCTTCCTTAGCCTCCATCCCTCATCTGCCGTATTGCTTCCCAGCTTGCTTTTGCTCTGTGCTATTAAATGACAGCCAGCCAGCCTAAGCTAAGTCTGATCCCTGCCAGAAGCCCACCAGGACCTCGGTGCCAAATAAAACATTTAATGGCAGCTCCAGTCAACTCCGGTCCCACTTAGCAGACAAAAAGACATCTGGAGGTTAAAGTTAGGTAACTGAGAGGATGATGGATCCTTCCTCCGCTCAGCTCAATAATTTCACATTAAATATCTGCATCTCTCTCTCTCTCTCTCTCTCTCTCTCTCTCTCTCTGTCTCTCCCACCCTCTCCTACAATCTCTCTCTCTCTCTCTCTCTCTCTCTCT